TCTTTTTCTTCCTTCCTTCCTTCCTTCCTTCCTTCCTTCCTTCTTCTCTCCTTCCTTCCTTCCTTCCTTCTTCTCTCCTTCCTTCTTTCCTTCCTTTCTTCCTTTCTTGTTTACCTTTTCTTTATTTTAGAGGGAAGGAGAGGGAGGAAGGCAGGGAGAAGGTAGACAGACTGGTTTGGCTCCACTATTTCTTAAGTAAAATCCAAACACTCCTTACACCTCTTGCTCTGGCTTTTGCTGTCTTTCATCTTGTTTCTGACATAACTGAACTACTTTGCCCGTTATTTCCATCTTATATCTGTGCTTTTTTATCTAAGGTGGGTTATCTGAGTATATCTAAATTGGAATGACTATCTCTTCTTTCTCTGTAAGTATATCCTACTTCAAAACCCATTTCCAGAACCCAGAGCTATTCAGATAATGTTTTTGGGGCCATTCCTAACCCTCTACCTTCACAAACATCTCCTTTTCACCTCTCACAGATTTCATATTTTCCTTCCTTTTTGTTACCACTGTGCCTTGTGTGTAAGACAGTTATTTCACTTTTATATGTAATGTTTTTGCAGATTTCTTACGCCTTTTCTTCCTGTTATGCTGTGAGCTCAGGGATTATTTCTGATTCGCCTCGTTTCTAGTACCTTTTGGCATGGTGCCCAATGAATATTTGTTGAGTGAATCATTGGGTAAATAATCTCACCTACACTGTATAATCTGTATCTTAATTTTAACTGCCCTGTGCTATTTAAAAGGCAGATTTCTTTTAAGAAATAAATATGACCCTTGTATTTCTTTCCCCTTCCCAAATATAGCTCTGTAGGGTGAAACTGTCTAGGTCCTCTTTTCAGACATGGCCCTCTATACAGCAAGGGATAGGATTCCCTATTCTAGACCTTATCAAATCCCTGGCAGGGAGTTTTGATCCATATTCTCCATGAATCTAATCTTTAGAGTAAATACTTTAAATTTATAACCTGACTTAGGTAAATTTAATAACGAAACAAGCATTTCTGTTCATATTTGGTAATATGTGTGTGATACTCTTTGATAAATGCAAATAGCTTCAATCATTTCGGTGTTTTTCCATATCTCATTTCTAGGTACAGGACATATGCTTCAGCCATGACTGTCGCTGGGTCGTGGTCAGTACACTCCGGGGGACTTCCCACGTTTTCCCAATCAACCCTTATGGTGGCCAGCCTTGTGTTCGAACACACATGTCACCACGAGTCGTGAATCGGATGAGCCGTTTCCAGAAGAGTGCTGGGCTGGAAGAGATCGAACAAGAACTAACGTCTAAGCAAGGAGGTCGCTGTAGCCCTGTCCCAGGTCTATCGAGTAGTCCTTCTGGGTCACCTCTGCATGGTAAGCTGAATTCCTCTCTCACTGTACCCAACAGTCCTCCTTTCCTTTATCTGTAACTTTCCGATCTGGGATGAAATCAACCCATTTTTCTAATTCATTCATACAAAGACAAGAATCTTAAGTCCACTTGGGGGCATTCTTAATTTCTTTTATTTATAATATACAGAAGCCAATATAGTAATGGTGATCACTGCCATGCTACTTTAACTCCTTAACCCTTTCACTCTGTATGGGATCGTTGATGTCGTATGTATAGAATATCGTGTTTGAGACTATTTTCATAAATTTAGAGATTGAATCTTGTATCTATTAGATCTTTCTCAGGAAACTGTTTTTAACCAGAGTCAGTACTGTTGTTCATGAAGAAATGTTCATTGTCAGAGAGGAATAGTCCTGAGCCACATGTAGTTTAGAGCAGCATTTGCATTTTATTTTAAAATATCCGTCTGTGGGATTTCTCCCAATATGTTGCAGGAAAAACAAAAACGTGTAGGTCAGTAATGTAACCTTAGAGCAGATAGTTGTGTAACCAGCATCCCAACCAACATATGAAATATGACCAGAACTCCGCCTTTGTGCCCCTTTTCCATAAAAGCAAGCCATGATTCTGACTTTTAGGGTAATAACTTCCTTACTTTTTAAAAATAGTTTTATTCCTAGGAAAGTATCCTTAAACAGTGTTCATTTTTTTTATGGATTACGCATATTTTTGTGTAGTCATCTTCTGTAACATGTTTGTGAGGTTAATTCATGTATTTTTAGGAAGGTTTAATTTATTTATTTCCATTGCTCTTACATGTTTCATTGTCAAAATATATTTCTACTTAGTTATTTATCCTTTATCCAACTGTTGATGTATATTTGGGTGGTTTCTGTGTGGAGTTATTATGTATAATGAAGAGTTGAAAACTCTTGGTGCAAATGTGTACTCATTTTTGAGTGCAAAAATTAGGTTACAATGTATGCAAATTTTGACCTTGGTAGATAATATCAGAGTGATTGTACCTACCAGAATGAAAGAAAATATTTGTTGACATTAGATGACACTTTGTTATTTGGAGTATTACAGCTTCTCCTTGACAGATGACCAATTTAGGTTTTTAAATATAGGGAATTTTACATAGAGAGATTATGGTTACTCCAGAAAACAATTCTCATTTATTTAATTGATTTGAGATTTGTAAAATGAAATTAACCATTTAAATGTTAACAATTCAGTGGCATTCAGTCCAGTCACAGTATTTTGCAGCCACCACTTTGTTTAGTTCCAAATGTATTTTCTTCACCCCAGACAAAAACTGCATTTTCTTTAAGCAATTATTCCCCACCCTTCTGTCCCCAAGCCCCTAGCAGCTACTTTCCATCTCTTTGGATTTATCTGTTATGGATATTTCATATAACTGAAGTCATAAAATATATGACCGTTTGTTTTGGGTTTCTTTCATGTAGCATGGTGTTTTCAGGGTACAGCCACATTGTAGTATCTATCAGTATTTCATTCTTTTTTAAGGTTGAATAATAATCCATTGTATGTATGTACCACAGTTTTTCATTCAGTCATTCACTGATGGACATTTGGATTGTTTCTGCTTTTTAGCATTTGTCAATAGTGCTGTTATGGACATGCGTGTACAATTCTTACAATTCTTTTTCCTATTTACCTAACCTTATTTATTTTAGCCGCTGCTTGAACACATATCCTTTTATAATACCTGATCAATTCAAGGTATATATTTTCTAGTGGAAGTTTTAATACAGACCAAAAAAATATGTAGGTAAATAGAATCTCGGGGAGAAATTCTTTATCTCAAAGAATTTGGGGCCTCATTTTTCTCCTTAGATGATGTTTTGTGCTTTGGCCCTATTATATTTCTAAGAATAGTTGTTATTCATGTATATTTAACTAGTGATCCATGATTTTCTAGGTTGAAAATCTTTTTATAATAAGTCCTCGGTTAAAACAGTCATTTAAAAAAGATTTAGAGTTTTTTGAAAAAGTTTAGAAAGCTCTTGGGTATTCATATTTTCAGCCATTTGCAATAAGTTTTACTTCAGAAATAATTACTTACATTAAGTGTAACTGTTTTGTCATACGCTTAGGTAGTAGTATAGGTTTCTTTAAGGACCTTGATTTTTTTCTGTTGAATTTTTTTTTATTGAAGTGTAATAGATTTACAAATGTTGTTAGTTTTAGCTATGCAGCAAGGTTATTCAGTTATCTATATATTCAGATCATATTCCATTATAGGTTATTATAAGAATGTTGAATATAGTTCCCTATGCTGTAAATCCTTGTTGCCTGGGTTGAATATATTTCTTAACTTGAATTTCACCAAACACTTTATGGAGAACGATTCAGTGTGTATGTGGGGCAGCTAGGTTGACCAGAGAACCAGATGTATTAGTAGAAACATTAGGCGGAATTTATAGTCTTTACATTTATACATCTTCAGAGGGCATTCTTTTGAGCTCCTTTTTTCTTCCTTCTCTAATAAGCACACATACCAGGTTCTGTGCTAGGCTTTGGGCATAATGTGCACAGAAAATTAAGGTCATCTCTGCCCTTGTCCAAGGGAAAAAATAGATGTTGAATGACTGAACAAATACCTTTCAATGTATTTTTTGCTGAAGTATGCAAAGTGCCAGCCAATTAAGGATTTCTCATTTGTAAAATATCAAATAGTTGAAGCGTAATCCTTGATTTCTCTGTCAAAATATATTATTTTCTCTCAGTGTTACTGGTTTCACAGCTTTCTTCATAGTTTTGCATAAAGCCAGCAGAAGACCTCTCAGAGAGGAGATTATAGACTGCTAATACTGCTTTTCTTAAATTCCCTTTTGAAAGCAAGGAATTTCAGGAGACATTTCCCTGCTGATAACACATGCTAAATTTTTATTATGTTGGAATTTAGCCTCCTTACTCTGTGTAGTTTTTCTCATTTTTCAAAGTGCAGACATTAGAGCGGTGGTCATTTTTCTTTATGTTCTTTTTGTATCTTGCATGTCAAAACAAAATGGGCATTGTTGTTGCTTAGTTCTAAAAATGATGTATTTACAGTTTGTGTGGATAAACAGTCTGATGCTAGTCAAAAACAATGTAAACCTTTGAACAGGGAGGAATTCATCTTGAAAATGAATCATGCTTTGGCGGTATTACCGTTGTTTGTCTGTGCTCTTTTTAGCAAAGTAAAGGAAACTGTTAAATAACAGTTGATATAGGGATATTTCCTTTTTACTCTCTGGAGTCAATCCAGTTTAGGTTGGGATTATTTTATCTATTTGCCATTTTTTACTTAGCAGAGGATGTTTATTTGAAATATATTCTCTCTAAATATCTCTTTAATTTCTGATCTTGTTGCCTAGACCGTAAGTCTTTATGAGGGGTTCTTCAGATACGTGAACATGGATAGGAAAAAACATTTCACCTTTCTGTTTACGATCCTCTAACCAAAATTAAGTGTTTTCTTCATTATGATTATAGACAATACACAACAGTGATAAATAACAGTACTTGTGACATTGTTACCAGTAAAAGCAGATGTTTTCATATCACATTATATACAAAATACATATATATGAATATATACATTGAATATTGTTGATGCTCATCATTGCTTGGGAATTATCACATATTATTATATAATAATATTATTGATTTTAACACTTACTACATATATTACTATAACCGAACTCAATTTTTAAACTAAATTGATAGCTAGACTGCAACATAATTGGTTTTCTTTGTAATTCTATGTGTTGTATCCCATGCATTTCTAAGTGTTATTCTGACAACAAGTCCAGGTGGTCCATGATATCATTTCTTACCTCATCTGTTTCAGCAGCCTCTTGGCACCGCCAAAACCCTCACGGCCAAACACACACTTCTTTTTTTTAACCACTGCAGACATTTTCTTTGTTTTCTTCCACTTTTCTGCTAGGAAAGTCTTTCAGTGTCTCACTGTGCCTTCTGAAGAAGGTTCCAGCTTATTCCCAGCTTCTTATCACACCACACCTGCATTTCTGTACCCTTCCCTGAAAATGCCACATCATTTTAATGCACAAATTTTTTTCTTCTTGAAATAATTGTCATCCCCTTGAATGCCTACTAAAATCCCACTTCATTATGATCTAGCTATAAAAATATCACATCACCTCTTAAGCTGCTTTTAAACATTTCTTGGTGGTGTCTTCTGTGTCAGCCTCGCTATTGGCACAGTGAACATAGTTTTATTATATTTTAATATGTTAATTGTTCACTGACAAGCCTGTGTCTCCCAGTAGACTGACCTCCAGAAGAAAGGGTTTTTTTCTTGTTGGTATTTGTATCTTGGCACCTCATGTAGAATTTGGTCAAATGTAGATTCCAAGGCTTCAAGTGTCATTAGAGGTTCTTCTAATAAAAACAATTTATTACTTGTCAAAATGAAGAGATTGTCATTCATGGTCCCATTTATTTTCATTTTGACATCTTTGAGATTCTTCCATTTTTTCAGCTATTAGTTAGTGTTACTATGTCCAGGCAGTGTTCCTGAGCTCCAGGAAAAAAGCAGTGAACAAAAGAGGAAAACATCCCTGTTCCCATCGAGCTGGCTTTCTAGTGGAGTTGGGAATGATCAGTAGAATACATGATAAGAAGATGGATAGATGGATAGTTTTAAGTACTAGGGAGAAAAATAAAGGACGGGAAATAGGGAGTGCCTGGAGGAGACTGCACTTTGAAATTAGAATGCTTCCAGCAGGCCTTATTGAGATGATGACGTTTGAGCAAAGAGCTGATGGAAGTGTGGGAGAAAGTCATGCAGATACCTGCAGACAGCGTTTCAGGCAGAAGGGCCACCAACGTAAAAGCCCCGATCTGGGAATGTGTCTAGAGTGTTCAAGAAAAGACAAGGAGGCTCGTGTGGCCGAGGCGTAGTGTGCAAGGTGCAGAGCAGAAGATGAGGTGAGAGAGGAGACGTGGCCGGATCGTGTCAGCCTTTGACTTTCACTCAGAGTGACGTGGAGGGGACGCTGTGGAGGGTTTTGAGTGACATGGTGAGACTGCGGTTGGACAGGATCTGAATGGAGCTCTGTGTTGAGAATGCAGTCTTTGGCCGACAAGAGGAGAAGCCTAGTGAGACCAGTTAGGGGAGAGTATTGCAAAGACCAAGTCAGGGTGGCTTGTCAGGCTTCTGGCCTGAACAGCAGAAAGATGGTGCTACCTTCAGGTGAAATGAGGAACACAGAGTTAAAGCAGGTCTGGGGTTAGACACAGGATCAGGAGTTCTGAACATGTGGAGTTAAACATGTGTCTTAACCTCCTAGGGATGGTTGGTTTTGTGAATCTGGGGTTCAGTGGGAAGGAACAGGCTGAGAATAAATGGAAGGCATAGATGAAGAAAGCCCGAAGCAGGATGAGATCACCCAGTAGGTGAATGAGTATTAGAAGATGACGATGTCCCAGGACTGGGCCCCGAGTCCCTCCAGAGTTAAGTAGTGAGTGTCACAGAAGGGAAAACCGCACATGAAGAATCCTAGAGGCCAAACGAAGACCTTTTTTTTTTTCCTGAGTAGAGGGAGTGATTAATGTGTTAAATTCTGCTGATAGGTCAATTAAGATAAAGACTGAGAAAAAGATAGAATACCATCAAATTTAGTAATGTAGAGGACATGTGGCTTTGATAAGAGAAGTCTGGGTTGAGTGGTGGGGGCCTGACAGGAGTGGATTTTATTAAAGATGGGAAGAGAGAAGCTGGAGACCAGTATTGACAGGTCTTTCAACGGGCATTGATTGTAAAGGGGAGCAGGATATGGGGGGGAGTTAGAGGGCAAAGAGGAGATTGCTTCTGTTTTCTCACGGAAGTAGGAAGTGAGCGTGGTTGCAGGCATTGGGAGCTTTAAGGAGAAAGGCAAATAGCCCTTTGGGACATGAGGCTTTCCTTTTACCAGTTAGTAAATTTCTGCTGAATGAAGAAACCATTTCTGCCACTATTATTTATGCCCCAAGCAAATTTAATTACTTGCTTTTGCTTTTCAGCTTCAATCAACACCTTGTTCCTGCGCCTGAATTGCTTTCCGCTTATTTCTTCAGGTAAACGTTGAATGCATCTTTGAACCTCCGCTCAGCTCAGCTTGCAATGTGCTTTCTCCCTCTTAACAGAAAGTGTCTAACTTTAGGCGTTCGTTTCTTCTGTGCGCGTGCTCTTCATCTGTACTTACTGCTTACTGCTTTCTGCCTATTGTTTTCAGTGATCTCCATTTCTGACTATAGAGGGGGCAGTTGGAGGACCTGCAACCAGACCTCCTGTGGTAGAATCTCCATGACTTTCTAACTCTGTGAATTCAGACAGATGACTTAATCTCCCTGTGCCTTAATTTTCTGTCAGCGAAACGGGAATAATAAAACCACCTGCCTCCTAGAGTTACCGTGAGGATCAAAGCACTTTGAATAGCGTGTGGCACATATGCAATAACTCAGTAAAAGACGAGCTGCTGTGACTAGTGTCATTATCGATACTGTGTACTGTTGAGGTGTATAGGACCGATTCATTATTCGTATTTTTGTATAGTGCCTTTTACCCAGAAAACAGAAGAAATGAAGAATTCAGTCATAGGTGACTGAAATATAATTATAACCTTATTGCATACAGGCTTTTGTAGAATTGTTAGACTCAGTATTGATAAGTTGACTTCTGAAACTCAGGGACACTCAGCACAAAACTGAATGTGAAGGTCATACTATTTTTCCTTTTTCATGTGCTTTTGCTCACTGTCATACCATACGTTAGGAAATACGGTGGGATAAACGAATTCACCTATTCTCTAGCCTTTGCATTTCTTTATTTTGCAAATGAGTGAAAACTGGAAACGGTTTAAGTTCAAGAATATGGCGGTCACTGTGTGATGGGCTTTTAAGGAATTTGTTTTTGTTTCTACTATTTCCATTGGGTTAACGGGGATTTTCGATTCACTTCTGTGGTTTTCGGAAGTGTCTCCTTCCCATTAACTCACTGGTCCTTGGGGAGAGGTCGTCTTTGAGTCACAGCTGTAGGCATCTGAATTCCAGATTCTGCTTCTTCCAAGTGGAAGTATTTGATGAGACGCCGAGACCTGTAGAGGGGCCTCCAGTTTCTTGAACTTCATGTTTTAATGAAGTGCTTCAAAATAAGTGGTAGCATCACTTTTCTTTTTAACATCTGTATGATGCATTCTTTTTTACCATTCAGACACTCTGTTTATAGCCTTCATTTGATGGTTTATTGTAATTATTTACTTTTGTTGATCAGTAGTTTTCTTGATACAGACCACATCACAGCTGTAAATGCAAAGCAAGCACACATTTCAGCCTTATATAGTTTCACCTACTGAAGACAGTCAGTAATAATGTGATGTTTCTTGACTTCTCTTTCCACATCACTGTTTACTTGTGGATTGAAGTTTCCATTTGTATGTTTTAATTTTTGCCAAGAAAAATCAATCATGTGCACTGTAGCTCTGCTTTAAATTTTATGCCTCATATAACGCAGAGTATATATATGGTATATACATGTTAAATGGATATTTAACCTTCTAAGATAGCCTTCTTTTAGGCTATCTTAGTTTAGTACCTGGGTTTATCACTAGTTGTATGTACTTGCTTATTTTAGTTCAAATGAAGTTTTAATTTGTTGTTTTCAAATCTGTTGAAGTTTTCCTAGTGAATTTGTTTTCTTGTAAGCTATTTGATCATCCTTTTAAAAATATTACTATAACATTATACTAGTCTTCATATTCCAATACACCAAAATCATACATATTTAAAATATCTTCATGTCACTTCCTGTCATTTCTCAGAGAGAGCAGATGAGTTCTTTAGGAAAAGTAGATTGGAAAGAGAGGCATTATGATTAATACCATCATGAAAACAAGGGGCTTTCATTTCAGAAGCCCTAACTGAAGAAACCATCTACTAAGTAAAGGTAGCATAGTTTTTTTAATAGACTATTTTATAGAGCAGTTTTAGGTTTACAGCAAATATGAGAGGAAGTTCAGATAACATAGTTTTTGAGGAAAATAAAATTACCTGTGGAGTACCTTTTAAAACTCTTATATTGTATCTAAATTATACTTCATAATTTATTTAATACTATAAAAACTTAGGCAAGTCTCTTTAAATATTTTATCTTTTGTCTATTTCATTTGGAATATGCTACATTTTTTCCTCTCAAAGCTTTTCCATAAAATAAATGCCAGATAAGGTAGTTTGCAATTGAAGCTCAGCTGGTATTTCTTGTTTTGCTTTTTACTGTTCATGAAATATTTTGCATTTTCTGTATACTTTTAGCATGGACAAATTATATAGACTCCAAGTTTCAATAGTGTTGTTTTTAAATGGTTAATGAGACACGCCTCTAGAGGGCGATCTTTTCTAAACTTTCCTGTGATTGTAATCATGGCAGCCCTGGCATGAACCTGGTTGTACTGTGGATGTTGATGTCTTGTAAGATTTTATAATAACCTAGCTTCCTTTTTATTATGTATTCTATGATGTACTCCTCAAAGTCTTATTAGAAAATTGGACTTTTGAAATATATTACTATCAACTAATATCTATTTTTAGTACACCATCCAGGTATCTAGCTCCTATGAAAGAATTTAGGTAGTTGAATGGAGGCACAATTTTTAGTTAATTATTTGAGTAAATGGTTTGCATGTTCTAAAAATTGCTTTCTTTGTTTTTCTATTTATTGACCTATCTCTGTACTTTATGGGGCCAGAGCGATTAAACCATTACTGAGGCATCATTAGGGCTTAATCCTGCCTTTCTTTTCTGTTAACATTCATTGGAGTTTTACTGCTTTTGTTTGCCTGCCTCTTCAGTATAATTTTCATATCAAAGCAGTACATACATTTATTATAAAAGTCAAATAATGCCACAATTTTATAATGAAAAATTGCACTGTCTTGCCCCCACTGGTCCCCTTGCAGTGGCTTCTTCTTTCAAGTCTTCATAGTTGTTTTTCTTTCTTTTTTTTTTTTTTCTCACCCCTTTCTGGGCATCACGTTAGTTGGATAATGGATCTCCTACACTGAGCTCCTTACTTTCCTTTCTCTCTCTGTGTGTTTTTGTCTTACTTTAAGAAAATGTCTCCAAGTTTATCTTCTAACCTTCTTTTTGCATTTTTACTTCTGCAATATGTTTTTAATATCCTTTTCTGTGAATGTTTCTTTTATCATCACATCCTTTTCTTATTTGATAGATGTGGAGTTGTTTCTCTCTTTAACAGTTATAATTTTTGAAGCACTTCTTTGCTCCTTGCATTATCATGTTTCCTCTGGGTTCCTTTTTCACTTTTCTTGTTGTTGTCATCATTATCTTTCATCCTAGAACTGTAGTTCTCATTCCTGTTTGTACATCACAATTTACATGGATAGATTATAAAAGCACTGAAGCTAAGGCCCTGTCCCAGCCTGATTAAACCAACATACTGACCCAAATGTCTACGAATCCTTGGCTGATCATTCTCATTTTTTATTTTATGTAAAAGTTTTATTATTAATTGTTTTCATTATTTCATTTTTATTCAGCTAATCAACAAACTCATACTAAAGAACCATCTGGAAGGTCTTTGAGCACGAGCAGCTCCTACCAGTTTATAGATCCAACTGGTCTATCAGTTTCATGAGCCCCAATCAGTAGTATTTGTAGATCTTTCCGCTGCGACTGGTCAATTTCCCCATAAAGGAATCCTCTGAAAAACTCTCTGGCAATACAGATTTAGAAGTTTAGTTTTCAGGGAGTTGAAGGAGTTACATTATTTTAGTCTAATGATTAGAATAACAACAAGAGGATTTGGCTTATCTATTTGCAAGATAAGTTTGCCTTACTTTTCCAGTAAGGAAGACAATTAAGTAAGAAAATTCTGGTCAGGTGCCATTGAAATATGTTTTTTTTTCACAGTTGGGTTTTAGAAAAATTGGGGAGGGAGAAGAGAGTAGGAATTATATTTCTTAGGATAATAATGAGCAGTGTCTGACTGAGTGACCCAAACACACAGATTTACAAATTATGAGACTACGGAGGAGCAGCCACAAGTAATCTTGAACTTAAAAATCTGAGCAGGAAGCAAAATTCTAACTGCTGGCTTATAGCTTGTAAACTCCAAAAGGATGAGGAGAGTGGGGTCACTGCTGTGCCAGGGTTACACATACTGAGTAACATAATAGGTTCTTAGCATAAAATGAGATTTAGAATTTGGAGGAGGATGAGAAAAGGAAAGGGATTTAAGGTTCATTGAAAGAGTTATTCACCTTGGATGATGTGTTTTTGCAGGTGAGAATACTGAAGCTAGAATGAGGCACAAGAGTGAAACCATTTGAGAATGAATAGCAAGGAACCGGTGTGGGCATTGTTGTTGGCAGCTTCGGAAGAGACAGGCCATTCCATTTTCAGTGTTCAGAATCATCCCTAGTAGGGAACGCTTAACAGACGTTCAGTGATGTTTCACTCTTGTCTAATGTGGAGTGGATTGAAATGTGTCTACATTTGATAGAATCGTGGATGAAAGAAAATATAAAATGATAGTATTGATCAGTAAATATGGTTTTCTGACAATGATTCAGCTGATTAAGAAAAAGAGTTCCTGCTAAGGCAGAGGAGTTACAGGGAAGGAGGTGGGGGCATCATTCTCAGGTGCACTGATATGGTCCTGCTGTCACTCTGCTTTGTGATTCTCACTCTCAGGGACTTTCTCTCAAAGGAGGTTTTGTGTAAACAGGTAAATTCATGGTTTTGCTTCTGGAAAAGTAAGTTTAGAAGACAAGGACTTGAACTTTTTATTAATGTTCATATGGTGTACTTTGACTTCTTTCTTTTCTCTCTTTCTCTCTCTCATAAACAATTCTCTTTCACAGACTGCTAATAATTTAGGGAGCTAAATTGGGTATGGGTTTCCTGTTTTCCTCTTGAGCAGAACATGTAAGCATATTTTGATAGAAAGATATTTAAATGTTTTTAAGCTGGAAATAAAATATATGTGAGTATAAAAGGTTTTATCTTCCCTGCTGTCAAAAATGCTGATTTGGCTCTTTTGCACAGTACTCCCATCTTTG